CCCGTTCGTTACCCCTCGTTGCCCTCTGTCAATTCTGTCTGAAGAAATCGGGAAGTTTACGAAGCGTGTAATGTGAGTTAATAAGTCGGTTAAGTGCGGGAGGTGTTCTACATGTGCACAGCCACTCCCGAATTGCCGATCCCATGTATTCACGGCCAATTAATCTATTATGTAACTTGTATCTATATCATTTAACGATAATTACTTTTACTCGTTAATTAAACGCGGTGGTCGTTAAATAAACACTCTTGAATTCTTTGTGCTTTCACTTGCAAATATCCCGTTTAAATAGTTTCGATTTTCTTTTGCGATAAATTAAAATGCTGTGCACAATTTCTGGATTTTTCTTGACACGTTTTCAACGGAAATTGGTTATTAACTTGCAGTATTTCCGAGATTTAACACACCTGGAATGATGACTGGACCGGTTTCGCCTGTTGTGAATGACTTTTCCTTTTTAACCAGAATTGAGATGCTAAACTAGCAAGTACTTAGATTAGTCATCATTGATTACCATATATTTTTCTACTTATAATTTTCATTATATTCCACCTTTGTAATGCCTACATAGTCAACTATCTTCAGCTTACTTCAAAATTGGCCCTATGCATTCAATGTTACTCTGACTTGCGATATTTTGATATTGTATTCATTAGAGAAAATTTTAAACAAGAATTGAGAGGTTTTCTTCCCTTGCTTTCAGAGATACATTCTATCAAGTGGATCTTGAAGTTATACGACGGTGTCAGACGAGCTTCGCGATGAAAGCAACACTCATGGGAATGAAGAACTCATCGAAGGAACTATCTTTTGAACTAGATGCCGTCGGCGAATCTCGTTACAGTGAATACCGCGGGATATGCAATCGAGAGATATCCCGCGGTGCTTCTCTCGATCCACTTGAAATTTTTTGGACCCCGTTACTCCGGTTTTCTTGCGCTACTTGCATGGAGGAGGATAAACTTGCTCGTATCACACATAGGAAACACTTGCTCCTTCCAAGAACATCTCGTGAAAGTGCATGTTAACTTGCGATGGCTTGCAACCTATAATTTTAAACTTTTATTTTACTTTCTAAAATTTAGGTAGCTTCGTTGACTAGAGAAATTAACACGATCAGCAAACGACCTTGTTTAGCTCATCATAATCCTGACCAATTATCTCGAGAATCGTGTTAAACAAATCCCTTAACAAACAACACGGTGTTATTGGATTAGTGTACAGTTACAGATGAAAACAACACCCATGGGAAACGAGACACGAACTTGCCGATGACCACTGGGGGAAACAGACCACTCGATGTTGGGGTCCCATTGAATGCATGCAGCACGGAACGGTCCCGGAAATCAGTCCCGTCACGCAGGCCGGAAACTGGACGATGCCACGTCGCTGGATTGACATTAAATCCCATCGACCATTCTCTCTACTCGAAACAATTAATTTCTCCATGTTAACACGTTACAGACCGAACTTGGCCTTCGTGATCCACTTGATGGCGTATCTAATTTAAAAATTTCGGATCGTTTATTAAACATCCGTGTACACCGTAGAATTCTTCCTACTGTCAGTAATATCTTCTTCAGTGCAAAAGTTTCAGATTTCTCCTCGAGACTCCACGCACGAAGGCTGCAATTGGTCCATCAAAACTAAATTCCACATCGATTGCACCGGCCCGTTTCCGCCATAACACCGTAGCCTGAAATTTAAAGATCCTCTGGGGTAACATTATTTTCAGATCGTAACACTCGGTTTAAGACGATATTCGGTTTCGGTACCGGCGAACAGGTTCGCCTTGCAAGGTGAGATGCGTGCTTCTCCCGTCCTTTCATTCTCTTCCACATTCTCTGCCTGACCATTTTCGTCCCGTACCTACACAACCCTCTGTATTCGTCTGCGTGGTTTTTTCTATCAGTGTGCGTGCCTACGTGCACACGTACGCGCTTGTGCAGGTGCACGGTGGGCGTGCGCCGTGCAGCCTGCAAAGAATTGCACACGAAGGAAGAGACTCGCCTGTGGGAAAGTAACGCAACACCATGAGAGCCGAAGGCCTGGACCGCTGCTGCCAAACTCCCATAGCGGCGTATGCATGCCATAGCGGCGTGTTCGTGGTGCTGGACGCGCTTGCTGCGTGCACGAGGATAAAGTGGCTGACCACCGTGGTTCCGATATGCTCTCTGACTTCGTTCTAGCCGAGTTCTTGTCCTCTTCCCCCCATGTGAATTAGTAAAAACATTTTCATTCACTGAATGTAGATCTGAGGCTATAGTCAGCATATGTAGTATTAGAATTTTAATTCTTAAAGAGGAATTTTTGAATGGCAAATGGTTACAAGAATGTATCTCGATAAAATCTCTTTTTGCAAACAATTTATGACGATTTATTTTCTATTATTTTCTATCGTCTAGAATATTTCACGAGTCGAAGAAGAAGCAGAGTTGCGGCGCGACGATGAGATGCCTTTGTGATAAATGAGCGAATCGAAAGTCGCACTCGAGTGCTCCTTTCGCATGACATACATGTTTCAGACTTATCTGCCGATTGCAGCTGTGACGGGAGTGATCTAGTTGGCGGAGTTAATTGAATTTTCTCCTTGAGATCGTCGCGAGCGAAGCCAGACAGTCGAGGGAAATGCTTCTCACAGGAGGCTCGTTGTTCGCGACAAAAGAGCGGCAAGAGTGTTGCTCCAGGGAATCGCGATATCACGCGTCGCTGGGACTCCACGACTTTCACGTTGCGGTATGTTTACTCAATATTTTATGAGATCTTTATAAAATGCGTTTGATGCTACCGACATTGAAATCGGAATGTTTTACTCTATTCGTGGGTCTTCAACATCGAGCGAGAAGGGAACGAAGCGATTATAATAGAAAGGGTATGTTATGGCTTACATAGAAGGATTTATTATTAGGGAGAAACTGATGTTTTGAATTATTCATTATAATACATGAAACAAATTCTAATTAAAAAAGTATCAGTTTCAATGTGTTCTCATATGATATATTTTTTAATAATTGTATATCTATATCTTTGAATATATCGCGTCCTTTTGCGAAAATCATTCAAGTATTACAATACACTTCCCACGTCCTTCTCGACGATTCACCATTCAATAGCAATCTGGTCACTAAGGACCAATCGGTTCCGTTTGCGTCGATTCCCTTCCTTGCCTTTGTGAATAAGCGAATTGACGCTCACGAACGAACCTGTGAAGCGTTTCCACCTGTTCAAAGGTTGCGATACACAAGCAAACCACAGGATCTCGATGAAAGAGAAGCTCTCCGTTACGCCGCGAGAGAAATCAACAAAAAGATTATCACCAGCACGAAAGAAGCTAGCTAGCTTCAGTCATTTCCGGAATGAAAGCAAAAACACGACTTTCGTTCATCTTCTGCCCGAGAGATCGCACTTATTCGATCTAAATTGTATCTAGAACATTACAAAGCGTAATATTTTTCAATCACCTAACAAATAACGACACGTGCTTTTTAAATATAGATGTTTTCACGTTCAATGATATTTTTGTAATTTCACTCCTACGTGAGAATCGATCGTTTTTCTTGGAAGAAATTAACGCGAGGTCTTTTCTCTCGGCGTATAATCGACGCCCATGCGTTCAAGAATTTCATGCGATTACGTAGGAAGCAGATCTCGTCTTTCTGTAGTTCTTTTTGTATTTCGTTAATACGAAAGCTGGCGCATAAATAAAATATCGCTTTCTACAAGACGGAGACAAAATTTCTGTGTCAAAGATAACTGGCTGTCACGGTCGATTCAACTCGCAAGTCGCGACATATCGCGTAGAAGTTTATCAAAGAACATTCTGTTACGTTTTTTTATTATATAATATTTATAAAAAGAGACCTTTATAAAAAAAGACTGTCTTAAAAAATTCTTCATTAATAAAAAACAGATTGTTAATATCCAAGATATTCATCCGATGGATCATTTGTATCAAAAGACTTACGATCCTGTTTGAAAAAATCTCGTAGCTAAAATCTAATAGCTTGCTATAGTTGCGATTTACAATCGGTCTATACTTTCGGAAAATGAAATGTCTAGACGTGTGTATTCGCGGCAGCGACTAGCAGCTAGACTGCATTTTTCCGGAATCTTGAAAGTCGTGCATGACGTCCATTAGTAAGTAGGACTTGTTGTCTAAAGACATTTGTAACTTACTCGCTTAGGAAGCTACTGGCGGCGTTCACGGAATTTCAATCGCCATTTAAAGTCGTCGCTTGTCATAGGGTTGATTGCTTCTCACTCGGTGATTCTCTAACAAATAAATCAAGAATATCATTCGACACCTTGTACCCACGTACTCAAACCTATACGAAATATAAAATGTATCCCTTCGTTTACATCGTCGAGTCGATATTTAAATTTCATCACGTATCTTGCTTCTTTCACGTAACTTACTTGTTAAATTGAAAAAGGGAGGGAATAATCGATATCGAAAAATTTCTTAGACTTTTATTTATTCGAGGGGGATTTTTAAGCAATTTTTAAACTCAGTTGGTCAATTTTTTTTGGTGGAAATACAATTGAGAAATAGAATGTTTCCTTTAAGTTTCCTATAAGCCATAGATACACAAAGTGTCGTAGTCTAATTATTATTAACGGAGACAACAGAAGAGTCAAATTCGCTCCTACATTAAGATCCTTTATAAATCCTTCGTAACGCATTGATCCATTCTTTTTCTAATATATGCAGCCCAAAACTGATGACGATGTAGCCGAGACGAAATTAAACCCCAGACATCCTTTTGGCTTACGAACAAACGCCCACGTGTTGCTAAAAAGTTGCAAGCTCTGGGAGAAACAGAGATTGATTGAGATAGAGAGAAAGAGAGAGAGAGAGAGAGGAGTAGCATCTGTGGACACACGACCGACGTACGATTCAGAGTTTCACGCCCCCGCCACCAACACGAAGAAAGAGAGTCGCGCGCATAGAACGTTCGACGGGTCTCGTGCACTCGCAGGAAGGTCGTTTTCTTTCCTCTGCGACTCGTAGGCTTACTACGCCGACTTTACACGACGGCTCACGCGTCCCCTTCAGTCGTAACGCAGCGCTCGTGGCGTGTGGAACGTCGTTAGCACTCGGTTGACGAGTGACTTCAACGCTGGACAAGGCGTATCGTTCCTCGCTCCGAAAACAATCGCGCGACAATCCTCTTCGTTTTTTTCCACTAAGTTCAAAAGTTCAAATCGTCGAAAGACTGAGAATACAAATAGTAGAATACAGTAGTAGTTCGTGCGAGTCGGCTTGTGTATCGTCGCGAAAATTACACGGAGTCAATTGAGAAGAGGCATCACTCGAGGATTCGTCCAGTGGCTTCGAATCTTTCGGGAGATCGATCTCCGCGAACCCGAAGACTTAACGGTGACTGTCCGAATGATGTGCTACTGATCCGTTGAACGATATTCGGAGAGTAATTTGTTAACGATAGTGTCCGTAACGGTGCAATTATCATTGGATTTCACACTCAATGCCACTTGTTCGCCAAGTGTAAACATGATTCCCGCGCATTGACGTATGCACCGGTTTGCGAGTGCAGCCTGCACTCTGCTGTGAATTGGTAAAAAAAAGTGAGTATACGTATGAATATTCATGGCCGTGTGTCGCGTGATAACGTTATCGATACCGTCGGTTCTTTTCTGTAGCACGTGACGCTTGAACTCCTCGCAACTCTGTAAGCGCGACGCGCCTCCAATTAAACGGGAATAATTCATACGGCCGATTTTATAACGCGTTAAATGCGCACGGGCTCGTACGTTGTATTGAGCTTCGATCGTTGTTAGAATGGCTGTTTATTATTAATGAGAAGGTTACAGTTAACGCTGTGAGAATGGTTACCAGTTTTTTCTTGCGCTTCCTTGTTATGGAAACATTTAACAATCGGGCCACGTATGTACCGGCTTCCTCTTGGATGCGCGTCGCACTTCACGCGAATGTTTAAGGTTCTCGAGCTTCTGGCACGCAGCTGCGTCGACTTCTTAGGCTGTTTACGCGATTTCCAAGGGCTCTGTCCGTCGTCGGTCATGCTGTTTTCGTTTCTGGAAATTACGTCGCTGTTACTTTTTTTACTTGCACTCATATGTGTATGTATTAGCTTTGCGATCACCATCGGCTTCTCGATAATTATCGAACGGCCTTCATCGCGGCTCGTTCCTTTTATAGCCTTGAGGAGGGAGGTTGAAGAAGCTACCAATCGCATGGACGTTTTATCCTAAATATATATCCTACATTACTCTATCTTGTTCGTTTTAAGTATACATCGCAGATAAGATGAAATTGGATCAACCTGTTTTCTGAATTCTTGTTAATCTTTCCTATCTGACCAGTAAACTAGTTTCCTCCGCGTTATTGGATTAATTAGCGCAATGAAAGGCACAATTAAATGATACGACAATAAGCATTACAATCTACAATGGAAAATTGCTTCTCGGAATATTATCCGAACGAAATTATTCAATTCTACACGTTGAAAGAAGATTCAAATACGTATTTGAGTCACCGCGTAATATCATATGGACGACGCTTGATATTATTGAGATGTACAATAATTGAACTGCATAATCCAGCTACTAAATTGACCGATCGACGTTTCTTTTGTTCACTGTAAATTTTTCGATTTTAACATCTATTCGCCCTCTTTCAATTCAGCGATCAGTTCTATTTTCTTAATTGGTTACGATTTCTGGTGTTTCTCAACTCTTGATTAACTTAGTTGATCAGCTTGATTTCTTTGCAATTCGATCGATGCATCTCGATTGATTCGTATTTTGAACAAAAGTGAAGGAAAGAATTGTCTATTGTTTTCAGGTGAGAGGCAAAGAGGGATGCTGAAGCACGTGTCAGTCTCGCCGTGGAGAGGGCGAGCGGACAGCGTGAGCCTGGCATCGAGCGGAGGTGCGAGTAGCTGCGGAAGCGGAAGTCCTAGCCCTGGTCACACACCACCGCCCTCGAGGGCATCCTCGTGCGCCTCGCTCGCACCCCTGACCGCCCTTTCCAGCTTTTCTCCAGCCGACGCAACGTCACAGCAGGTAAATCGCAGGAGATCACGTTCGAATCACGTTTCTTCTTTCATCGACCGCGATTGTTTAGATTGAAATGGGGAGGGAGGGGTTGATTGGGTTCGTTGTTCGTAACCAAAGAAGGGTTAAATCGAATAAAAGATCACTGGATGAAAGAAGTCACAGCATTCGGCAAAGAGAGAAAGATCGGGAGCCTCGCGGGAGGGTACAAAAAGCAATGACGTGGTTGCTTAATAAAGCAAACGAGGAGAACAAAACGTTGTCCGTGACGGGCGTTGAAACTCGTTTCGTGAAAACGAGAACAAAACGATTCCTTGCACTTATTAACAGCTGGACCACGTGTGTCCTTGTCCGCTCGAGTTAATAGGATTCATCGACGAGACGTGTGTTTAATCCACGATTATTTCTGACGTAGTCGCTCGCTCGACTACTATCCTGCCAAAAATAGCCGCGATTGCTTTCGATTGTGGAATGATTAAATTATCAATTAATACATCATGATATTAATCATAAATATTCGAAATTATTGCACCACATAAATTTGATATAATATATCTGGAATATATTCGCTGATTTTATTTAGATGAATTTGATAGAAGTCAGGTTCGAGTGGAGGCTGAATTTCTCACGATCCAAACTGTCCCCAAGTTCATCAAGCTGCAACTGTGCGCGGCTCGCTTTCGCATCCCTTTTTGCGCGAACAGAAACATGACTCTCCCGGAGTCCCTTGATCCCAGCAAGATGTTTAGGGTGGCCAGTTCTGTCCGACATCTGCGATGAAACGGCGAGAGAAACCACGTCAACTCAAATCGTTTGAATATTCAAGCAGAATCTCCAACACTTTGTTAGCAGCAGTATGTAGAAGCGTGGAATTTCGATGGTTTGCGAAGCAGGTTGAAGTCGATTACTCGTCTCGGTATTAGTCGCGTCGACTGGCTCGGTCAATAAAAATTAGGGTCACCGCATTTAAAACGCGAACTTTGCATTATTGCCGGCATCCCAGTTTCTGTAGCTCTAGATATTAAACGCGCGGTTGTTGAATACACAGGTACGTCGTGGCGTTTTCATTGTATTTGCGTTTGTCTGGCCCGTTTCACACGAGGCTGCGTCAAAGGTCGTTGCAAAACGGTTTGAATTCTTCCGTTAGTCTCTTTGAGAAAACGACTGTGCACAAGCATCCTGGTCACTACTCTGTGAATATTTTTATATAGCGATGTACAGTTCTTTCAGATCTTTGAAAATCTATGCTTGTCCATTTTTTTGTTTTTCTCTTTAACGTTCTGCGAGAATAAAATTTTAATTTTAAAACAAGAAAAAATATATCGCCTTTATGGTGTCGATGTTTCTTATGGTTTCGGTGTCTTTCGATGGACAGAGTTTGTCCTCGTCGTATGTCCCGCAGTTTTTGTTCATGGAACCAGGAATTCTCTGTGAGAACCCCGCATGCCAAGGCGTCGCACATTGCGGCCGCCTCGCAACGTGGAGTGAAAAACTATACCGAGCGCCTCCGTAACCCTGATGGATCCACTTAATCGCACTTGCTCTCTATCTACCGGCCTTCGTTTCTTAGTAGGTTGCCGGGAATTAACCGAAGAAATGCCTATGTTACGAACAATCGACTTGTCATGATAGGAAAAACTTCAGAGTGAGAAGTAGAAACTTTCTTCCTCCGCGAAGTAGTTCGTATCCATTTGTATGAGGTTTTCTTCATCACACGGAAAGAATAAAAAATATTTCATCCATGATCGAGTTTCTTCTGCGAGTACTTTTTCAACACTCTTAAAAATTGGCAGAATTGAATATTTTTATAGAATATTGCCGACAGAGAGAATACTTTCTTTCATAATTTACATAAAAAGTTTTCTAAAAAAAAAGAAAGAAAAAAATAGCAAGAAGTAAAAGTCAGTAAGATATGACACAAAGAGCAGTGGAATATTTTCGTGCCAAAAGCGAAAAATAAATAATAGATAGCTCTATTCTTGATACTGGATAACACTCCGAAATGTTGGTACCGATTACGCATAATCGCTCGTAATAACTTGTGGAAGTAGCAAACCATTTAGTCATTAAAACAGAAGTTGTACTTTGATGTGTATCTTCGATTGCGATATCTTCTCGCGTTTGTTAACACGAGAATAGGAATTTTTTACTTTTCATTTTTTGCGATCGTTTGTATTTTGGAGTAGCTTTTCTTCTATCTTTTGTTTGTCTCAATCAAGTTACAATGGTAAAACTCTATTCTACTTTCGATGCAGTGCGACCGCAGAAACAGTATCGCATTTGCGATAAGATAAAGAACTCGCGGAAGCATCGCGATCTTACAATTCCCTCGCTACCCGAGGAACATTGCGGAAACCGGTATAAAATAAAATGTATTCTGGCCGAGCCTTTTTTTTCTCTCTCTCCACGTTAACTAACTGTAGTAAGAGCCTGCAACGACAGCGTTGCGGCTTTCGATATACCGCACAACTTTACGCAACTGCGAGACGAAAAGTGAAAAATCGTCACTGGCGTGCAATGATCTTGACAATGTCAATGTCTCCTCGCGAACGGCCCGTACAAAATGCTATCATCGACACAGAAAATGTCAAAAATTTGCATTTACTCAGTTCAAAATTAACAATGGTATCTACTATCTTTGCAATCATTTCTTTATTAAAGTGCAATCTTAGTTTTCACAATTTTCACGTCGAACAAAGTGATCAAATAAATTTTAATTTGCAAAATGCATTTTTAGAGTTTCACTTGCCTCTCTGTCTAGACGCTTGCAAAATTTCACGTTAGCTGAATCGCGCAAGCATTCCAACGCGTACTTACACAGGATACAGAATACATTTTCTTCCCATAGTATCGGGTAATATCGGGACGAATTAAAAACCGCAAGATTCGCTTTAAAGAAACTCGATCCAGCAGAATCTGGATCATTCTTATGGCGACGGTCGATCGATCGATCGATCGTCGTGCCAACACAACACGTACGAAATCACGTTCCACGTACCTTCTCGTTCCGCCTCTAGGTCCCGGACCTGTCCGCGTTCTCGGACCTCGCAACATCCGGCGCGGCGGCCCGTGGTTCCGGCTTTCTTGTCTATGTGTGCCTTTTATCCGAACCGGTCTTAATAAAACGTACTCGCCGTCTGTTTCATCACAATGTTCGACTTTTATCCGCCGATCAGGGTCCGACCTTCACCACTTTTGTGGCTGCGACGGTTCACTCAGAGATCTCTGCGTTATTTCGCTACATTGTGAAACGTATCGTACGAGAAGCAGAAGGTTTCGTAACAAACTTTTTTGATTGAGGAAAGTCAGCGGAGATTCTTAACTCCTGTAACTGTAATTGTTACAGATGACTATAATCGTTCAAAGATAGTTGTAGTCGTTCCTTCGCCTCCTGCTATTAAAGTTTCATTACATGGGCCTTAAAATTTCTCCTTTCTTTAATTTTTACAAACTTACTTGCTGGAACATAGGGGTGAAGTTCTACACCGAACGATTACGAACAAAGTGAAATCTTTTTCACACTGTTCGGTACAAATTAATCTCACTTTCATCGTTAGATTAGAAGGCAGCCGTCTTAATGAATTTCTTGCCACTTCCCGATATTGTAACGGCATTGTCTCCGAAACAATATTAGAATGATCCTTGCGCAATTAGATTTCCAAGAGGCGTACAATGAGGAAAGAACAATTCTGTTAACGAACCAGGGGAATCTGTATGGATATCTTCTTATTTCCTGTACCGATTCCTTCATCGACGGAACATGAAACCTGGGGGCGTAATAAATTGCTGGTCGTATTAATTATTAAACGTCAGTGCACCCGCATGACATTACGACAAGGCGAAACAGAATTTTAAAAGGGAATCTTCTCGTACTTTTTGCTCGGGGAATCTCGTTCTCTTTTCCACAAAACCCGCAGAGACAGTCACAATACCTCGTAATCAGAACACAAACGATTCGAGGTTCCCTGACTGGTTCCAAGGATGCTTCTCTTGTAATAAAATGCACCGTATGATCGTCAGATTTGTGTCTACCATAGAGGCACGTTTTTTATGTATCCGCTCGAACGAGCAGAACGTGGCTTGAATTCACACGATTAAACTTCGAAACTGGAGTATAGTACGCCTCGGTATACTAAAAGAGGGGTTGTTCCTCGTTCCACGGTATCCGTTGATTTATTATCATGCTAACGACTTTATGGAACGCTGCCTGTTACGTAATAGTATTAAGCGGCGCTTTCCAGCGACTGGGGAATGCCATTACGTCACACGAAGAAAGTCATAATCGTTGCACCGATAGATCTTTATTATTTTGAAAAGAGATTTTTCTCCTTGATCGACCCTTCCAGGTGTGCTTCTGAAAAAATCCGAAAGATATTCAAAGGGTTATTTAAAGAACGCATGAGCTACGAGACCACTCTATTTCCCTGTCCCTTCGCTGATAATTATAGGTTATTACGCGTTTCTGTCCTCTCTCGAGAGGAACAACTCGCGAGAATGAACTCTTCTTTTCGAGCGCGTCGGAGACGCGAGATTTTTAAACGAGTTGTTGCTGGCTTAAGCAAACACACGCGAGGCCCCCAACAAAAACATCGCTGGCATCTGTGACGTGAAAAATATATCTCGAACATCTTCTTTTCTTTAACTATTTTACGACTGGATTAAAACTCGCTCTCTCGCAACTTTTTCCCTCTATTACACGTCCGTTCGATCGTTTTGCTTATTTTCACAGAGAGATTCGTTTAACGTCTATGTATAACACCCGAGATTCAGCAGTGCCGAATGATCGCGTTAGAAGAACGAATCCAGAGATAACTGGGACTAGAAAAAGAGTCGGGGCGATTAGAAGCCGGAATTCTTGTGTAATCGCGGCTCGTTCGTTTTTACAGACGGTTTTTCTTAAGATAAGCGGCCAGCTTATTCGCAGTTGGCCAGCAAGAATCAGCGAGACTTCCGTCATTCCTCCAATTAGTACCGAGAATGGGTGATTCGGCTTCCGTTCTGATAACGCG